ACGCAGGTCTTCGCAAACCCGGGTCAGCCAATATGCGCGGCCGCCTCGCGGCCACGAGCGGCTCGCTAACCCGGGTCAGCCAGAGGGGGTCTTCGCAGGATCCTGCAGGATCCAGCGCCCTGGCTGACCCCCGTTTGCACTGACCCCCGTCTCTTAGGCCCCGGCGCGAGGCCCCTCCTCCAGGCCCGCGCGCCCCCGCGCCGAGGCCAGGCCCGGCTCCGGCGGCGCGGCCTGGCGGGCGCTGCGGCGCCCTCCCCCTCCCTGCTCCTCCAGGCTTCCTCCTGCTGCTGCTGCTGCTGCTGCTGCTGCTCCTCCTCCTCCTCCTCCTCCTCCTCCTCCTTCTTGCCTCCTCAGGGCCCCCTCCTCCTGCTGAAGGCTTCTTCTTCCTCCTCCTCCTCCTCCTCCTCCTCCTCCTCCTACATGCCTCCTCCTCCTCCACCTGAAGGCTTCCTCCTCCCTCCTCCCTCCCTCCTCCCTCCTCCTCCTCCTCCTCCTCCTCCTCCTCCTCCCTCCTCCCTCCTCCTCCTCCTCCTCCTCCTCCTCCTCCTCCTCCTCCTCCTCCTCCTCCTCCTCCTCCTCCTCCTCCTCCTCCTCCTCCGACCTCCTTCCTCCGTCCTCCGTCCTGTCCTCCGTCCTCCTCCCTCCCTCCTTGCCTGCCTCCCTCCCGCCGTGCCTCTCTCCGCCCTTGCTGTCCGTCCGGCACGCCACCATCTGGAGCTCTGCACGTTTTTGGCGGCGTTTTTGGCCAGGGTGTCGTTGGCCAGGGCGCGCCTCGTCCACGAATAGGCTCATCGCCCGATCCAGATCTGAATGATGGTAGGCGGCTCGCACAAGGGGGGGCAGGGTTATCGTGCATTCTCGGGGGACCTTGTCTGTCCCCTCGCGGCCATATCCGCGTCGAATCGGCGTCGAATCCATGTCGGACTCGTCGGATCCGTGTCGAATCCATGTCGACTCCGCATCGGGATCCGCGCAAAATCCGCGTCGAGTCCGCATCGAGCCCGCGTCGGGCACAAGACAAGATACCAACTTTGGGGATAGGCGAGGTTCCCCGAAGATGCAACAGAAGTAGAGGGAGGGGGAAGGCTTCTTGGAAGGGGGCTGCTACTTAGAAGGCGCCGGCCTCACATCTACAGAGAAGGCCCGTGCCTTCTCAGGAGCAGGGGTGCTTCTAAGGAGCCTTTCCCCTTCCCCCTGCCCCCCTCTGCGCATGGCCGGAATAGCTCGCAAACCCCAAATTGTCCCTTTTTGCAGCTCCGGTCATCATGGTATCTCCAGGAGTCACGGTCCTCTCCTCAGGGCCCGATGCTCATCCTGAGTCGTTGTTTTTCGGCCCCGGGGCCTGGCGAGCGTCGGCATAGGCGGGAAAAAAGGAAACGTATCCGCATTGTTCTCCCTATGTGTTGAAAGTCTGGGGGATCGATGGCTTCTGGACACTACCTCGGAACTCCAACGGACGCTCTGGACGATTCGGGCACCCCTGGAACGTTTTCGCCCAGGCGCAGCTGCTGTGAAACACCCCGAGGTACTCCGTGGAGCTCCCTATGGGGCCACAAAACGTGTGAGCGGTGTGCCGAGATGGGTCGGGCGGACGCATGCGAACTCACCACGGAGGCCCTCGGTAGAGCTAGATATGGGGCCACGAAGCGTGTGAGAGGTGTGCCGAACGGCATGCGGATGGCAGCGGCAGGGCTGGGAGGAGGGAGGAGGGTGAGGAGTGAGAAACGCGGGGCGCTGTCTCCTCAAAACGAGGACCCAACACCATGGATGTTTGGGAACGGACAATCAAAATCGGAGGCAATCGCCTCGCAGTCTGGATTGTCCCAGAACATTGTGCTTGCTTGCTTGGGGCGTGAAGTGTTCCTCTCATGTCTCCTGAGGAGGACGAGGGATCAGATGAGTGACGAATGATGATGCTGCTGCTGTGGATGATGATGCTGATGATGATGATGATGAGGAGGAGGAGGAGGAGGAGGAGGAGGAGGAGGAGACAGCAGAAGTGGAGAAGAGGGAGAGAACGGAGGAGCGAAACTGTGTTGGAAAGAAGGATTTGTTTTGAAAACCTCTGAACGCCGAAAGCGGCCCACCTCAATACAGTCTGGAGCTGAGGGAGGAGGGAGAGATAGGCAGGGAGCGAGCATGGCTCGGAGCGAGGAGGGAAGCGAGGGAGGGAGCGGAGGGAGCCAGGATGGCTCGGAACGAGGAAGGGAGAGAGGGAGGGAGCGAGGAACCAGCGAGCGCAGAATCGACGAACACGTCGAACAACAAACAGCTCGAGAGCCCGCGAAGTCTCCGGAGAGCCATGGAGCCTCGGAGCTAGACAAGCGCGTTCCACTACTCGCACAACAACTACTCGCAAATGGCCCAGATCCGCCATAAGGGGATGTACGATGCATGACGTCGATGCAGACATGTGTTTTTGTCGGGTGTTTGCGAGTAAGCAATTGCGAGTAGTGCTAGGTCGGACATGTCTTCCTACAGGCGGATTTTGGAAGACAAATGGATAATAGCCAAAAACACTCAACAAGGGTCCAAACTAGTCGGACAACTCGTCCCCAGACTATTGTTCTGCTAGTCTTGAGAATTCCCCCTGTAGAGGGACGTGCCCGACTTGAGAGTAGAGGAACGCGCTCGGTGAGCCTCGGAAGCCCTCGGCGACGACGCTGCGTGACAGAAACGGCTCGAGAGCCCAGCAGCCTCGGGAGAGCCCTCTGGGCGGGGGGCGGAGACCGCCTGCCCGAGCAGCGGCTGCTGCTGCATCGGGATCGGCGGCAAGCCCCCGGCGGGCAGCCCGGCGCCGGGCAGGTCCACCTCCTGCGGCAGCGGGGGGACGGGGCGGGGGGGGGATGGCTGGGTTGGGCTTCGACGGCAGGTCCGTCGACGTCTCCTCCTCCTCCTCCTCCTCCTCCTGCGTCTCCTCCTCCTCCTCCTCCTCCTCCTCCGTTTCCTCCTTTGTCTCCTCCTTTGTCGCCTCCTTTGTCTCTTCCTTTGTTTCCTCCTCCTGCTCCTCCTCCTGCTCCGTCTCCTCGTCCGTTCCCTCCGTTGTCTCCTCCTCC